CATCAAATGCTTATTTTATGTTTAAAATATTATTATTCATTATTTGTATACTATTTGATTTAACTAAAATGATCAATTTGGGGGCTTGTTTTGGTCTTTTTAAAATTTCTAGAAACTATTAATCATTCTAAAAATATATATTTCCATTATCTCTTGGTACATATTGTCCGTCCGCCCGTCTGTCTGTCACTTTTTTGGGGAAACACTAGCTCTCCTTCTAATTGAGCTAAAATGTTCAAACTTGGTGTCGGTGTTTATTAGGGGAATACCTTGATGGAGTTTGAAGATGAGCATTTTCGTCTTAGGGTAAGCAGAGATAAACATTTTGATTGGTTGATGCTTTGGGACATGATAACTTTAGTTCTTATTCAGTGAGAGAGAGAGAGAGAGAGAGAGAGAGAGAGAGGGGTTGTCTGTATTTATCAGTTACCATGAACTAATTTCTGTTTTATAGCTATTGTTCTTGAAAGTAAGACGCACGATTTAAGCATCGTGTCGCGTTTTCATATTTTTAATAATTATGAAACAGTCAATGCGCGCCTTTTTAGTTATATTTCAGTTCTAGAAAAATGAGTTGTTGCTGGATTTATAATAACGTTTTGTAACCACCATGTTAGAAATTGCAGTTTCGGTATGTTGCCACGAGAGTGGATTTAAAAGATAGAAAAAGGGCGAAACTACACGAGTTGACTCTGAACCGAGAACCGTTAATATATATATACGTCATTGGTTACAATCAACTAACTTAGAAATTAAATCGCCGAGATTTAGCCAAAATTTTAATCTAGTTCGTAACTACTTTTTTTTAAAAGTCCAACGAGTAAAGAATAATTTTTTACATGGCTTCATTGATAAATAAGTGAATGGATATTGTCACGTGAATGTCTATTTTGGGCGACTGTTTGCTGCCTACAGTGCACGAGCGAGCCCGTGAGAGCACTTTTCTAATAAACGAAGTTTTGATCCGCGTGACAACATGCTGTTAAAACAGGTCAGTTTATATAGTACAGATAATAGAGGCTGTGGGCCACTCTACTACAGGCCGCAATTCTTAATAGATACTTTTGAAATACCTTTGCATACCTATTCCTTATACCCTAAGGATGGCCCCTATTTTTTTGGGTGATTGCCCACCCCCCAGGGGCAGAGCCATACCCATTTATTCTTGGTGTCTGTGTGTTTTGCCTACAGGCCACGAATCTTAATGGATCATCTGTGTATTTCTTATAGCCTAAGGACGACAACTGCATGTCCCGACCCCCATGGGCAGAGCCACGCCCAATTTTTGTGTTTGTCGTTTACAGGCCTGAATGGATCAGCTTGGTACTTGGCATATGTATTCCTTATAGCCTAAGGGCGTCAACTAATGATTTTGGTGAATGCCCCGACTCCCAGGGCCGGAGTCACGCCCAATTTTTGCCTTTAGCGCCTGAAAGCCACAATTATAAATGGATTATCTTGGTATACTTATTCCTTATACTCTAAAGACGGCAACTTTTGATGTTGATGCACCCCCTCCCTTCTCCAAACCCCCTGCGCCACCACTCCCTGGGGCAGTTAATATTTTGTCTGAAAATTTGTCAAAACAAACCGAACGCCTAGCCTCCTTTGCCTCTTGTCATATTACAGCCATTTCATATTTCATTCTCTTCATTTTAAAAAGTGCCATATCAGTCAAAGCAGGAATGTGGACGTATATTGCAGCGTTAGCGATGCTCTTGATTATATACGTTGGAGATAGGGTTTGGAATATTCCCTTTCTCTTAGTTGGCTAAATACCAGCGTAGAGGCTGACCCAAAGTCGACCTTCTGAGTACATATACTATAAGGAAACGGAGAATCTGAGATTTTATGTTCCCAGAGAACGTTTGTTTTGTATGAAAGAAGCTTTTGAACAGTAACTGATGTGTTTTGCTACAATTGTGGTGCCAAGGAAATCCATGCACTTACATTTGTGGTTAATTTGACAGATGGATGATGATTGTTTCAGAATGTTGAAAAACGTTCTAAATTCGTCTAGTGTGTACGTCCAGTCTATGAAAATGTCATCTAAAACGTCCATAGAACTCTGGTTTTAAAGGGCAAACTGGCAAAACTTTCTTTCCCACCCCGCCATAAAGAGATTTGCAAAATTCTGGGCAAATCGTTTTCCCATCGCAGTTCCGGAAGACTGGAGGTATACTTGGTCGTTGAAAGTAAAATCATTCCTTCCCCCCAAAATGTCGAGTAATTTGAGGATTTCTTTGATTGGTCTGGATGCTTGCAGGTTCCTAAGAACTGCTTTCCTAACTGCTTCAACTCCTGTTTTATTGTCAATGTTCGTTTACATTCTCTATACGCGATATTAAGATGGTGTGAGCAGCGACTGCTACCTGTTTCATTTTGTGAATAAATTCGTTGGTGTCTTTAATATAGGATGTGTGTTGGTAATAAGAAATGATCTATATATTGTGATACATTGTATTATTGGCTGCCACACTCTGATATTATTGGGCGTCCCTTGGGTAATTCATTCCATATAAACCATCCCTTTTCTGGATTTTTATGTATTTTTGGTAGCATATAGTGATGTGGTTGTCAACAGTCAGATTTAGCGGATAGATAATCATATTGTTTTGCTGTTATGTATTCTTTGTCTTATATTCATGTAAGATGTTTGTTAACAGATATAATCTGTGCGATTCATTATGACACGACATGAGAGTTTGTCGGGTTTTTTTTTGCGGCCAGGTTGGGATTTGGTATTAGTGATTGTAGTTGAACTAAGGGATAATATGTATGTGTTCAATTTGTCGAAAGTGTTTAGAATGGCTGGTGATAATGTTTTTTTTCGATGGTTTCCATGTAGATTTTTCTGTGAAATAAATGAAAGAGTTCTTTGAAATCGATCGGTTTTCTGAGAAATGTGGTCTATGGAAGTTATCGTGGAGGTTGGAACAAACTTGAGACCTTTGTCAAGTATGCTAAGTTCTAGGGGGCTAAGAAATCTGTCGCTTAAATTGACCACTGTCTGTCCTAAAGACGGCTTCTCATTCATTTTCCCTGATTCTACTTTAACTTCCCCATGCAGCAGTTGACGATCTCTCTGGTCGTGTCTTGATTCCAGTGCATCGCGCCATTGCCTTTCAATTTTGTCAGTGTGGTGGCACTTAAAGGTACAGTGAAGATCAACTGGTTGGTAGGCGATCTGATTGTCTAGTCGGAATGGGGAAGAAATGGGAATCTATGTGGTCAAGAGTTTTGCTGTTGATGTTTTGGTAGGCGATCTGATTGTCTAGTCGGAATGGGGTAGAAGCAGGAATCTATGTAGTCAAGAGTTTGGTTGTTGGGAAAACTGCTCTAGCCTCCGCGAGCAGATCTAACATCTGCTCGTGTATCCTTGGTCCAGCCTCCTCCTTGTTGTTGAGCCCAACGTGTATAACCATTTTCTCGGGCGCAGGTTCCATGTATTTTTTTAGAATCAATTTGATGTGGCAGATCTTGGCCCCATAATAGCTATGGATCTCCCAGTCCCCGGCAAAGGATAATATTCTGGCCAGGTTAGAGGATCCAATAAGCAGGGTCTAGGCCAAAACAGATGGTAGGTACTATAAACACCCCTCGTCTTCACCTTTGTAGCTGCCTGGTCTCTTCATGGAAAGTCTGAGTGATCATTTGCACCTGGTAGAAGGCTTGATAGTGGTGTCAAGGATAGGAATGGCGGGCGATCTAGGGGACAGCAGACATTCCACGAGAGCGTTTAGTTGAGATATGAAACCTGAGGATGACGGTGAGCAGGGTAAAACCTGGGGCGAACTGATTGGCCTAGCTACACGTCTCCAGGGAGTGCAGGTTTTTCAGAATTTTGCTGGTAATTAGTATCAATTTTTTTTTCCGCGGGGGGGGGGGGGGGGTGTTTTTAGGTGTTTTTTTCGGTATTAAATATAAACTGACACTGAAAAAGTATGGTAGTTAAAAGTAGGACACGGTTATCAAATGATAGGCTTTTTTCAAAAAAAAGAAATAAAGAAATGAGTTTTAATCGCGGACACACTTTGGATACCTTAATTTTATCCCATGTTTTATCGTTTTGGAGGGTGATGCGAGCGGGAAGGGGCGTTTTTATAAAACTAAGAGCAACGCTGAAAAATTCCGAAGGAATTTGGCGGCCAACACTGGACCTCACAGGATCACCTTGTCTTCTGGTAAATATTGATCAATATATTAATGTCTACATTTTAAAGTAAAAACGGAATCAGTTGTTAATAAAATATAGTGTGCCATGTTTAAGAAGCTTATTATAGCCATACTCTCATAGAATCGGGTGAATGAGAAAAAAAATTTCAAAATTTAAATAAAACTTAATTAATCTGTTCTTTTAAACCTCTTCTATTATGTTACAACCGCAATGAGCATCATCTCAAGGGTTCTCTTACGTGCACGCTAATGTGTTCACGGGACCTCGTTTTTTGGTCCGATTCGAGCGACTAGTTGGTGTTCTTTACCAGTCCCCCGTCCTGCACCACTGACAAGGTGAAACCACACTTAAAAAAACCCGCGAGGAATATTCCAGGACAACATCGGGAGCGAACCGTGATCCCCTCTTATCGATCTAACGCCCAACCCAACCAGTCACGGTGGCTACCATGATTAAATACCATTTAACTAAGGAGACCATCTTTGTGACCAGAATAAAACACCGATCTTTGTAAAATATCATTTATTTCAATGCGTAGAGTCTACTAATATATATATATATATATATATATAATTACAATATTAACCATGATTACTACAGACTACTAATATATATACAATCCCAATATTAACGTTGACTACATAATACTAATAATATACAATCCCAATACTTACATTGACTAGAGACTACTAATATACAATCCCAATACTAACATTGACTACAGATTAGTAATATACAATCCCAACACCAACATTGACTACATAATACTAATATATAATCACAATACTAACATTGACTAGAGACTACTAATATTCACCCCCAATATTAACATTGACTACAGATTATTAAAATTGATTACAGACTACTAATATATATAATGGTGGATAAACGCTGGGATTTCTAATACTGAAAAATGTTCCAAAGTAGAATGATGAACGGTGGCAAACGAAATTATATCCATTTAATCATGTCTTTTATTAAATGTTGTATTAGATGATACAGGTGGTAATTTAGTCTTGTTTGTGGTAGAAGTTTGTGGAGTTGATGGAGGTTTAGGAGTAAATCTTCCAGATATTGATGGCAAACCTTTCATTAAATTAGGAAGCGGAGCAGCACCAACTTTTTTCGCCATTTTGAAACGCTTCTGCACACTTTCATTCACTGATGACGATTTAATTTTTGGTGGCGTCGTGGTATATTCCGAGGTTATTAAGGATGGTAATTTTAACCCCAGCTTCTTTTTATGTCTAACTTCTGTGATGAATTGATTGCTATTTCCCGATGCTATTTTATTTATAGAATAAGAAACTTCAGGCGAGGAGTTACTGTGCGTTGCTATTGCTTTAGCTGTCTTTTGTGCTCCTTGAAACGCTTTCTGTACCACAAACTCATCTTCAATAGATATAGAAACAGAGTCTGTTGATCTACTCGAAGACACTGAACATGCACTTCCATCAATATCTGTATGAATAGTGCTGCATGACAATGACGGTGTTATGACAGCCACATCTTCAATATCTGTGTGAATGGTGCTGCATGATAATGATGGTATTTCGACAGTCACATCTTCGATATCTGTGTGTATGGTGGAGCATGCTGATGATGGTGTTTTGACTGCCACATCTCCAGGGGAGCTGGATGAATACCGTGAGCTGGATGATATATTTTTTGAGATTGAGATTTTACCCATCTCAGCAAACGTGGTCTTTTTATCTTGTTTTGAGCTTTCAGTTGGCAGTGTAGATTTGCCACTCGTCGTCTTCTTCGTATAGATACTACGTGATTTAGTATTGATTGTTGTTGCGGTTTCTTTTGATATACTTTTGACGATTGTAGATGGCTTTAGTGGAATCTTCACGGCCTGTGGTTTGCTTATCTTTACGTCAGTTGGTTTGCTTATTTCAATTCTACCTGCTTTTTGTTTTTTGTCATGTTTTGAATCTCCTTGTTTGGTATGGTGGGTTTTGGTGGTTGTAGATTCTATGGTTTTAATAGACATAGTCTTCTTGTCATTGGTAACCTTTCTGACCACAGCTGTTGTTTTGCCGGGCTTTTGACCAGATGTCTTTTCAGTTTTTAATGAATTACGATTAAAACGTTTGGATCTCTTCAGATGTTCTAATTCTTCTGTCAATTCATTGACTGTATTTCTTAAATGAGTGATTTCTTCTTTCGCATTAAGTATCTGAACGTTACTGAAAGAACAATAGTGGGATATATACAGGTAGGTATATACAGATTAACTCTCACATAAACTCTCAGGGTACATTTACATTACATCTATATGTAAACAGTTTTGAAATCGTAAATAAAGACTTTTCTTCAATGATGTTTTATATAAATTTTGTGATTTCCTTAAATTGTTTACATTATTGATATGAACTGCTAGGAAGCTTGTTACAGTAACAATCATCATCACTAGGAAATGACCAGAATAATCATGAAATAGCATTCCGATTTAAACTTCCGGGCCGTTTTTTTAATGAATTGTTAAGATTGTCACTCGCAAAATTTGTGTATAGAAAGCACCATGTGAGGTCATTTTTTCAAAAACATTCTCGCGCTCGCCCCTAGCCCTTTCCCAATCTGTTCTAAAGATAAGCTCTGTCCAAGAGAAAGATAAGGAACTTACACGTTCAATGATTTTACTTTAATCATAAGTGTTTTATTGATGGAAGTGAGTTCGTGAATGTAGTTGAGAACTTGTTTAGGTACACCTCGTAGACTTGGTACTGAAAAAGACATAGAAACAATTTCAAAATATTTTAAATAGGTAAGAAATATGATCAATGAATATTAAGAAACATATACATGTACTTCTCATTTGTTTGAATCAGTTATAATAAAGTTTATCTTTTTACCTTTGATGTTATTAATGTCAGGGTTGGAATCAGAACAAGAATTCGAATTCTCTAATTCGTCTAGGGATACTCGCAATCCTGAAAATATTAAATTGTAGAGTATAATATTATGGAGTATAATAGAGTATAATTGTTGAGAGAGAGATTCACATATGATTCAATATTTATTTAAATAATTCGCTTGCACGTAAGGGTCTTTAGCACTTTAGCAGTAGGAGGAAACCGGGGTACCCAGAGGAAAAAAGCTTTAACGTCCACTCGACACAAACTAAGTCATTTTGGGACTAACTATTCAATAATTCGCTTGCGCGTAGGGATCTTTTATCTGAAACTTGAGGAGACAAAAGAAAAAACAAGAGGTTAAAGAGGTTAGTTAGGTACACCCCACTACTTGTCAAATACATGTGAGGGGTCGAAACCACTTGAATTGATTTAATGACAGACCTTATTTTCTACACCTCAAGTTAGCCCCCCCCCCGCCGCCCCTCCCCCCACCCCAAGCACACCACATCTTACCTGGTGTGCAGTGGAAGTGAAACCAATAAAAAGAGTGTTTGAATGATGTTTTCGCTACATATTGTTATCTGATAAATGATATTTTGAATAATAGGTGGATGACAGATTATATAAAAATGACTAACCAGCGATTGGTTTAGGTGTTGGTAGACAACCTGTTGAAGATGTTGTTATACATTCAGGAATGGAACCATCTTCATCATCTGATGTTGTCACATAATTCCCTTCCTTACTATTAACATATAACGGATTCATACTGAAATATAATACATATCCCGAGTAAATACATGTTTAATTTATTGTCATCTGACATTCTAATGTAAGGCATTATTATAAATACTCTTAATATAAAATAAAGTTATTTCATCTGTCAATATTTGTTTATATTCTATCATGGTCAAAATATATATCTATGAATCTAAATTATTTTCTTCTGGTCTGCAGAATCACTTTAAAAATCTCTGTTGACCGTAGCCTCAAAACGTCATCATATCTTTATTTTTGAGCGACGTTATTTGAAATAGATGATTTTAGTTGCTGGAGTGTTTTTGAAATTATAAGTAAACTTACTTACCTATTTACTAAATAGTTATCTTGAATGACTGTTTCTGTGTTAATAAAATCTTGAAATATCAATATAAGCACAAGCTAACTTATGATACACGTCTTATCACCCGCGATGAATGATAGGACAATAATATGACGTCACAATGATAATGATGTTTTTTATTGATGCAGCTATTTTTAGACATTTCCATGTCTCTTTTCTCAAAGTAATTATCATAGAAATATATTTCTATGATAAATATTATCATCACCATTATCATCTTCATCAAACCTTTTGTTTAGCGCCATTTGCGCCAAAGATGCCCAATAAAGACGTTAAAAACATATATATGACCTATCTCGGCAGTACATACCGAAAACATCCGAAAAGTACCGAAAAAAACCACTGAAAAATACCGAATTATATTTTTTGATAGTAATTACCGAAATACTGAAAAAAACTATATACCGAAAAACATCACTAAATACTGGAAAACATCACTAATTATGGAGAACTCTAGTTCTCGCATGAAAGTGGTGGACACTTGAGGTGGGTAATGGGCCAAGCTAGGCATAAATATAGGTGGATCATGGTCAGACTAGGCCTTTTATAAAAATTATGGGGCACTCGGGGTGGGTCGTGGATTATATTTAAGAATATAGGGGAGAGGTCAGGTTTCCATATAAGCACTGACCTAGGATGATGAAATTTAGTTCGTGATATTTCCTATTTTAAAGATACATTATGTGAGATTAGATAAAGAGCTGACAGTTCTCACTATACTAGTTAAAAACTAGATTATGTAAAGGCAATTTGCTGAAAATTTCAGTCAAATTGATCCGCTATGACGCGAAAATAGGCGATTGAAATTTCGGCCTAGCCTCGATCATCATTACTAAAGTCGGTACAATAATATCATAGTCTCGATTAAATCATGAATGAAAGTTTAACAGCAAATCGGATCATAATCCGACATCGAGAGTTGATTATGGTCTGGATAAGTTAATTAATGTCTTATTAATAATTTAGATAACATTTCGGTCTCAAAGAAAGACCTGCAATAGGCAAATTTAGCCCTTGCATAATGTATGTTTAATAACCAGCGAAAAAGCTAAAAACAAAAACGATTTTTTTGTACAATCAGGGGTCATAATCCTGAAAGTTATGGTCTGAAATGCGCAAATATCAAAAGGGACTGAGGTTTTTGGAATATAAAGATATGTTTTAAGTTTCATCAAAATCGGATAAAAATTGTGACCTCTAGAGGGTCCATAACCTTTGTATTACATACGTGTACACAATTTGTGTACAAAGAGCGGCGATTTTGTCGGGCAGTTTCATTTCTATTTTTACACCATTTGTGTACAAGGGGTGGCCATTATGTCCGTCAGTTTTAGTCCGATTTTCACGGATAAAAATTGTGACCTCTAGGAGGTCCACAACCTTGATATACCAGATGTTTACACTATTTGCGTACAAGGGGCGCCCATTTTGTCCGACAGTTTTGGTCCGATTTTCACGAAATTCGAACTCAACCATCATTAGGGTGTAACGGTGATATACTAAAACATTTTCTTAAATCGGATAAAAATTATGACCTCTATGGGGACCACAAGCTAAAAACTGGTCTTATTTAGTCTCTTTACTGTGCAACAAGATGTCGTTCAGACTATGCGGGTGGCTATCTCGTCAGTCATATGAATATTCAAATCTAGTCGGCGGGCGGGCGGGGGGGGGGGGGGTGTTTTCAAATTGCCAATCCAGAATTTTTCTCATGTTGGCCTAAACGTTTTAATTTTGGAGTTTCAAAATCGCTCTTAATTTGCTGTGATTTGAGACCAGTTTGTCTTTTTTGGTGACTATGTCTGACCAGTGATCATTGATTCTTTCCCTAAGTGCATTTTGGGTCTCTCCTACGTATTGTTTGTCACATTCTCTACAGGTAATTAGACAAATTAAGTTTGAACTGCTACACGAAAGTTGCTCAAATATTGGGAATTGTGTGCCAGAGGACTTGTTATGGAACTGGTTGGATATATTTATGATTTTACATGTTTGACATCTGAGATGGCCAAAAGTTTTGGATTTAACTGTTTTTATAAGACTAAGCTCCGGTGATCCAGCAAAACTCACAATGGGAAGCAATGCTGGAAAATTTCGAGGGAATTTGGCGACCAACACCGGATCTCACAGGGTCAAATTGACTTCTGGTGTATATTGATCAATATATTAATGTCTACATTTTAAAGTAAAAAAGGAATCAGTTGTTAATAAAATATAATGTGCCATGTTTAACGAAGTTTATTATAGCCATACTCGCATAGAATCGGATGAGTGAGATAAAAATAAAGTATTGTAAAATTAAAAATTTAATTAGATCTTAAATCTTTTTTTTAAACCTCTTCTATTAATTAAAACTTAATTAATCTGTTCTTTTAAACCTCTTCTATTATGTTACAACCGCAATGAGCATCATCACAAGGGTTCTTTTACGTGCACGCTAATGTGGTCACGGGACCTCGTTTTTGGTCCGATTCGAGCGACTAGTTGGTGTTCTTTACCAGTCCCCCATCCTGCACCACTGGCAAGGGTAAACCACACTAAAAAAAAACCCAAGGAACATTCCAGGACAACATCGGGAGCTAACCGAATTCCCTCTGATCGAGCCAACGCCTAACCCACCGAGTCACCGTGATTAAATACCATTTAAGGAGACTATCTTTATGTGACCAGAATAAAACACCGATCTTGGTAAAATATTATTTATTTCAATACAATCACAACATTAATCTTGATAACAGACTACTAATAATATATACAATCACAATATTAACATTGACTACATACTACTAATATACACCCCCAATATTAACATTGACTACAGATTAGTAATATACAATCCCAATACCAACATTGACTACATACTACTAATATATAATCACAATACTAACATTGACTACAGACTACTAATATACAATCCGAATACTAACATTGACTAGAGACTACTAATATACACCCCCAATATTAACATTGACCACAGATTACTAACATTGATTACAGACTACTAATATATATAATGGTGAATAAACACTATAGATTTCTAATACTGAAAAATATTCCAAGGTAGAATGGTGAACCGTGGCAAACGAAATTATCTCGATTTAATCATGTCTTTTATTAAATGTTGTATTAGGTGATACTGGTGGTAATTTAGTCTTGTTTGTGGTAGAAGTTTGTGGAGTTGATGGAGGTTTAGGAGTAAATCTTCCAGATATTGATGGCAAACCTTTCATTAAATTAGGAAGCGGAGCAGCACCAACTTTTTTCGCCATTTTGAAACGCTTCTGCTCACTTTCATTCACTGATGACGACGATTTAATTTTTGGTGGCGTCGTGGTACATTCCGAAGTTATTAAGGATGGTAATTTTAACCCCAGCTTCTTTTTATGTCTAACTTCTGTGATGAATTGATTGCTATTTCCCGATGCTATTTTATTTATAGAATAAGACACATCAGGCGAGGAGGTACTGTGCGTTGCTATTGCTTTAGCTGTCTTTTGTGCTCCTTGAAACCCTTTCTGTACCACAAACTTATCTTCAATAGATATAGAAACAGAGTCTGTTGATCTACTCGAGGACATTGAACATGTACTTCCATCAATATCTGTGTGAATGGTGCTGCATGACAATGATGGTGTTATGACAGCCACATCTTCAATATCTGTGTGAATGGTGCTGCATGATAATGATGGTATTTCGACAGTCACATCTTCGATATCTGTGTGTATGGTGGAGCATGATGAT